GATTGTTGAAATGATTCTTCATTTACTATTTTAATGGAGTGTAACCATACATCAAACACAGGATGTCCTGTAGCTAACTCTTGATTATTGTTAAATGAACTTTCAGGTATATTATCTAATTTTAATGTTTGCAAATTCATATTATTGAGAAGGAATTGGTGAATTGGAATTTGACACCATGAATTTTATTTACTCCATAATTTAAAATCTACAAAATAATTGGTTTATTTTATGTTTTGTTGATTTCGTCACTTTCGTCAAATTACTCAAAGTGTAAAAACCCATTTCGTCACATTTATTTTCGTCACCCAACCTTGATTAGAAGTAACATTTTAAAGGTTTTAGAGATCTATACATATCAAAATCGTTTCATTTATTTTGTTTTTTTTTTTAAGTATTGTTCTGAATATTTCTGTAATGTTAAGAATGTCTGAATATTCTTAATAATAATAATAATAATAGATGGTGGTTAAGAAGTGTTACATGCAGATAAATTTTATACTTTAAGAAGTTTATAATATTAAAAAAAATTTTTTTTCATAACATATAATATAAAGAAGGTAATGTAAAAAACATAAAAAAGATTACATATGTATGTTTTCTTGTATATTTATATTATTTAAAGATAACATAACAATCTTACTATGATAATAAAAATGATTTAATGGTGAAAAAAAGACAAAGAGTAGATAATATCCCAACCTCCCTCAATATCAAGTCATTATCCCAATTGCACAAGTCTTTTGGGATCCAGTACTTCCACTTCCACCTGCAGTTGAGTATGTACCAGCTGTTCCTAATCCTCTTGCAACTGAAACTGCGCCTGTTAATTTTACTATTGATCTGTATCAAGTTCAACAACTAGTTTTAAGTGAACAAGATAATGCATAATCTTTTTTATTCTTTTATTCTGTATTTGTACATTATTCAAAATTGAGAATAGTAGTTATTATATTGACTATGTGGTATGCATCATGATCCTGATGTTTTACACTTTTTTATATACAATATTATGAAATGTAACAATTGTAATGCAAATCAATAAAGTTTTACCATACCAAGTTATTTTACAACGTGTTAAAAAAATAATTACCAATTTTAATTGCTAAATATGTGGATGAAAAAATTGAAATTCAGACTATTTTGCGAAAGCTTTGGGTCCTTCGTATTTATATGTGGTAATGAAAAAATTATGAGGTATATACAAATGTCATTATACAAATGTCATTATTCAAATTGAAAAATTCATGCCTCAACCCTGTCATACATCATGTGAGCAATCAGAGCAAAGTCATGATCAATCCATAACAAGCCTTGAAGTAACTCCTCTGGCCAGGGTACCTGACAAGATCATCTGGCTCCAAGGTCCCACCTACATTTCCTGCTTGGTACTTTATGCCAGTACATTTGTACCAATGGCAATTCACTTATATGCAATTGTCATAATTCAAATTGAAGCATTTGTGCCTCAAATCTGGTATTTGAATGCATTGTTCAAGGCAAAATATAGATTGCTATTTTAGCACATTGTGCCTCAGCCTCAGTTGAGAAAACGTTTGACAACCAATTGAAAGCCAGCAACCACAACAATGAACAAACATAGAATGAAAGAACATCAAAATGGAATGCAAAAAATCATAATCAAATCATAGTTATAGTTATATATCTACTTAGTAAATACATAAAGTATAAACAAAACTTATCAATTGTTTTTTATAATTTGCTAATTCATTATTTATATAAATTATACTGGCACTTTAATATAGTGTCATGTATTTGTATGTGAAGCGCAGTCAAATCAAATACTGGTATTTAAATTTTTGTATATATGCTGAATTATGATTGGTCAATCAGTTCGATGTTGATCTACATTCATATCTTTCCTTAGACCTCCAGTCAATCAACCAATTAATCAATCAATTAAATCAATTAAATCATGGTAAATACCTATACTATATATATGTGCGCATATGCTTTTGCTCAAGTAATTATTATGCTGATAAATGCAAGTATAAATGTTTTCTAAAAAAAACAAAAGGCATCAGTAAAAGCTTATAAAATTCGTAATAGTCACAAGACTGTATTAACAAAACAACTCGATGATCTTAAACAAGAACTTGTTAGTCTTAAAGTACAAAAGATAGCTGGAGGTGCTGCATCAAAATTAACAAAGATGTTTGTAAAAAAATTTTAAATATATTTGTATATCAATCAAATCAATTATTATTAATCATTTCCCACTTACTTGTTCATCTATAGTCGAGAAGTTCGCAAATCCATTGCAAGAGTAAATACAGTTATTTCACAAACACAACGCGCACAAATTCGACTTTTTTATAAGGGTAAAAAATATAAACCCCTTGATTTTAGACCAAAGAAAACCCGTGCAATTCGTAGAAAGTTGACTAAAGTAAGTTGTTATATTATTTTATTGTGTGGAGCTAAAAAAAGCATCATTAAAAAACATTAATACTTTTTTTTACATCAATTAGAGTGAAGCTTCAAAGAAAACTAGACGGTAATCGTTATTACAATTTTGATTTAAGAAAATTTTAAAAATTAATATTTTTTATTTACAAAAAACACTTTTTTAAAACTAGTGCTCATATCAAAGCAATTCATTTTCCACAACATAAATATGCCATAAAAGCATAAGAAATCATTATTAATAACAACAATAAAAAAAAGGAAATATTAAATTTTTTAATAAATCAAATTTGAATTTTTAA